TAATAATAATAATAATAATAATAATAATAATAATAATAATAATAATAGTACAGAAATTCAACTAGCGCCATCGATACATGGAAATTGGAAGAGGGATTCCACTGACAGTATAAAGATCTATACAATCAAAGGTGTAACACTTGTAAACCTACTTTTTGATGAAATTCAGAAAGTGGTAAAGTTTCATGAAGCTCAATGTGCTTAGCACAGCATTCCACAGGCAGTGGCCTCCTTTCCTGGACCAACAATCCCTTCTCATGGTCACTCGTGCCCTAGTCACTTCCCATCTTGACTATTGCAATGTGCCCCTGAAAAGCATCCGGAAGCTCCAGTTGGTGCAAAATGCAGCGGCCCGCATGGTTTTGTGCAGACCTGTGTGCACATATTGTCACCTCTCCCACCGGAAATGCATGGGTTGCCAATTTGCCTCCAGCTGCAATTCAAGATGCTGGTTGTCACCTTTAAAGCCCTTCATGGATTGGGATCAGGTTGTCTGCCAGTCAGATCTACCCAACCCAATTGAGCGGGGAGGAAAGAAATGTTGTGTCAGGAGATATATCTGGTGGGACCCAGAAGAAGGGCCTTCTTCGTGGTGGCTCCCTCCCTCTGAAGTATCATCCCCCTGGAGATTAGACTGGCCCCCTCTAACACTCTTTCAGAAGTTCTGGTGGCCTAGAGGTGGAGCTCTCACCTCACAATCAGGAGGCTGTGAGTTCGATCCTAGGTAGAGGCTAATATTTGGAATATACTCTCCCACTTGAGCAGGGGTTGGACTAAATGACCTCCAAGGTCCCTTCCAACTCGGTTATTCTATGAAAGGACCTGAAGATGTGCTTCTCTGCCAATGGGCCTGGGGAATCCAGAGCTGGATGGAGCCCATCAAATGGCTAGTATGAATATGTGTTGTCACCAGGATGTGTGTGTTATTATTTTATTCTTTTTATTTTTTTTTCTTATTTCTTTTATATGGTGTTCTTGTGTCCTTATAAGCCACCTTGAGTTGCCATGTGCAAGTAGGGGGCAATATAAATTTTCTAAACAAATAAAATAATAAAAATAAATAAAATAAAAATAAAATTAAACAATCTGAACAGTGCCAGGAACATGGGCAGCTCCCTCTGGGTTGATTAAGTAAACATGGAATGAAATAACAATGAGTTACTCAAATTACTAGCAAATTTTCATCCCATAAGAAAGTACAGATACAAAAGAAACAACCCTAGGATAAGATTAAGGCACAAACCAGGGATATTAACGGGTAAATAAAAGGGTTTCCACTAACACTTTGTTTAGTGCATTGATAGCAGTGCAGAATGAAAAGAAAGCAGTCCTCAGTTGACTGCTTCATATTTTTGTCAAAATCTCTGCTCACATCTCTATAAAGTGCTTTTTACACAAGTGAATGTGGCTTCCCCATTGACTTTGCTTGTCAAGAGGATCTCAAAAGGGGATCACGTGAGAATGGGACACTGCAACGGTCATAAGTATGAGTCAGTTACTAAATGTCTGAATTCTGATCACGTGACCATGAGGATGCTGCAAACCGTCATAAATGTGAAAAATGGTCACAAGTTACTTTTTTCTCTACCACTGTAAATGAATTGTTGTAAGTCGAGGACTACCTGTTTAACTGACGCAAAGCAATTTCAACCACCCCCACCAGCCTGGGCCCTGAATCACACCTGAAGCTGCTGCTCTTACTAAAGTCCCAGCACTTTTGCTCAAATCTCTCACATAAAGGTAGTCCTTGACTTACAACAGTTCATTCAGTGACTGTTCGAAGTTACAATGGCACTTTTAAAAGGTGACTTATGACCATTTCCCCACACTTATGACCACTGCAGAATCCCCGTGGTCATGTGATCAAAATTCAGGCACTTGGCAGCTGACTTGTATTTATGACGGTTGCAGGGTCCCGGGGTCATGTGATCCCATTTTGTGACCTTCAGAGAAGGAAAGTCAATGGGGAAGCCATGTGACTAACTTAATAACTGCAGCGATTCACTTAACAAATGTGGCAAGAGACAAAATAAAATGAGGCAAAACTCACTTAACGAATCTCACTTAGCAACAGAAATTTGGGGCTCAACTGTGTTCGTAAGTAAAAGGACTACCTATATTGCCATTGAGGAAGAACCCACTACAGCAAGTAATGAGATATGGATATTCCAAATCAGTCATGTTGTGTTTGTGATCCTATACACTGTTCAAGTGTCTACTTTTTTTTTGCAAGGTACTTATTAAGCGAGGAAGCAGCAGCCATATAGATTTTACTTAATGCTTCTTTCATCCTCTTTCGTTAACATAAAATTCATCATTCTGTAAATTGAAGAAGGGGAGGTCAGCATGAGCGACGGACATGAAATGTGGATTTAGAAGCCCACTGTGGAAATACGAGAACCAAAAATCTTCTAACTCAGTTTCATTAAGAAAAGGATAAGCTTCGCAAGTGATAGCAATTTTTTGTGAGATCTATCACAATTACAGATTTTTTAACCATTTACATTCCCTATTTATTTGACTTAAAAAGCAAGAAATTGTCTACAATTAGCTCTGCTGAATATAGTAGCCTAAATATTATTGCTTTAATAGGCTTAGAGGATTAAATTCAGCTATTTAAATCTAATTGACCAGTGTCTTGTAAAGATTTGTGACCTTGTACTCTCAGCAAAGGTATCATGTAAATACAGGACAAAACTACCGGTGGGTATGAATTCAGGGATCAAAACACTTTGCTTTGATTCATTTATGTTCATCTGCGCTAAAGTCTGTCGGATAATACTGTATTTCCAAGCTCCATCAAGGAAAGTAACAAAGCCTATTTTCTGACTCTTTTAAAGCCAAATGAATTCTGTGTTTTGTTTTTAAAGTCTTTTTAACCAGGATGCAATTTAAGATTTCAAACATGCAAATCATATCTTTCTGCTACTGTATGTTCTTCTCTGATCCTCTATTCTTGGTGGATAAGAATACTGCTTTTCTTTTCAAAGTGACAAAAATCAAAGCAAGCTCTCTACTACATATCTGAAAATCTAATAGGAATTCCTGCAAAAACTCTAGTCTAGTCAGATATAACACAGTAATTATCACTCATTTGGAAGTTTTCAAGAAAAGATTGGACAACTGTTTATCCAAGATGGAATAAGGTTTCTTGCCTTGGGCAGGGGGTTGGACTAGAAGACCTCCAAGGTCCCTTCCAGACCTATGATTCTACATCTAAAAGCTGTGATTGAAGAAGACCAGCACACTGGACTTGTGAGCTACACCACTCCCCTAAACAACCAAGCACTCTTGTCTGCCAGGTGATTGCAGATTTTGTGTGCAATGTCATTTCTAAGAGCAAAGCTCAGGATGACAGACAGGATGGAGGACTTCAAGATGTTGCATCCAGAGATACCATCTGGGAGCAGCCTGGCAAAGTATTAGCTGCACGTAACAATAGGCTTAACAAGCAGATAAGAGACATAAAAACATTAATACTTCATGTGGGATATGTGTGATGGGGTAACATGATAGCAGTGGTCCAATATCTCAGGGGCTGCCACAAAGAAGAGGGGGGTCAATCTATTCTCCAAAGCACCTGAAGGCAGACTGGAAGCATTCTCTAGTGCTAGGGAATTTCTAGAAGCCTGGCACTCTGACAAATTAGCCATCAATATCAATATCATTAGACACAAATCATATCATAGAAAGACCTGCACATGGATTAGAGAACAAACAAAATATACAATGCCATCAAGAGAGTAAAAGAATTGAAACGGAAACAGGCCTGGTCACAGTGCAAGAACTGATGGCAGGTGGACCAAGGCAGTCATCGAATGGATCACACTTGATCAGGAAGCATTCACAAAAGACACCTGAAACAAGATGGATCAACGACATCAGCAAGTATGGCGGGCCCAACTGGCAAAAGAAAGCTCAGGACCATATTGGTTGGAAACATGTGGAAGAGGCCTTCATCTTGCAATGGACAGATAATGGCTAGAATGATGATGATGATCAATCTATACTCTGCAAAAGAGACTATCGACCAGGCCGAGAGAGAAAGAGAGTCCAGAATCTCTCCACCAGCAATCAGCACCCAGATGAGCATCGATTAACTCCAAAATTAACACCACCCCAGTCAAAACACTGCCAAAGGAGAACCCAAAGAATCTTTAAGACCATCCCCATCAACACTGACAGAACAAGACACCAGCATATAAACTGACAGCAAATCCCACTTCCCACCAACACTGATAACATTACCTAGTTGGGTCATGAAACATCAGCAAGCTCAGAGAGCATCAAGGATCCCTCTGGAGCTTCCCTAAGGTCCATCAAGAAGACAAATCTCTTCACTGACAGTGAGAAGCATGCAGTAACAACTGCATTACCATCTCCCGATTCTTGACCAAGCCCATTTATACATCTTTTCTTTTCTGGAGCAGAGGTTGAAGATGTTGGTTTTGCTCTCTGAAGGACCACCCCTCCTCTTCATGATTCCTAGTACATCCCCTCTGGAAGGACTAAGAGGGTACTTGAAATAAGGATTATTTGGGAAATTCGGCTTCATTAAATCTAATTTTACAAAATCTTTGCCTTGGGACAGCTGTAATTTACAGCACATGAAGACATAAAATTCGCTTTTTATTTCCAGCTGCTAATTTATTTTGTACCCTAAGCTTTTTAACAACGGCCAATATTAATTATCACCTGTAGGCAGGGGATTATGGAGGACCTCAACTGTGTTTCCCATGAAGCTGCCAATAATAAATCTTTAAAAATATACTAAAAATCTTACAAGATCCCCAAAGCCTTAAATATTTTGGTTTCTCACTCAAAACCTTACAAGATTTGGGATGGGTACATTAAAATA